ATTTCTAATGACAAGTAAATGAAATTTTGTCCTGAAGCATGGTGTAGCATGGGTAACAGTCTTCACACCGAGTACTTGTATGTGGGCGCATCTGCACGCACGTGGGCGGACCCGCCTGGAGATGGATAGAGGACCGGTCGCTCGGTTCCTAAGACCATTGGAAATATGTGTTTTGTGATGGTCTTAGGTGACCCCTGTGAAAGGGTCGTTCGACCCCCCCAAAGGGGTCATGACCCACAGGGTGGGTCCCACTGTTCTAGAGTCTCCTAACTGAAAGCAAACATTTCTTGTGTGGAAGTCAAGAGTTTATGAGGTTATAGCAGATGAGGAAATGGTGTGGGGCCCACCTCTGACATCATGGTTGGTCAAGTAGAGGGTCGGAAAAGAAGGACCCTCAAAGTGAAGGGAAAACCCTCAGGGAAAATAACGGGCTTGTCCAAGGGCATGCCACTCATGAAATAAATAAGCAAATATGGATACCCAGGCCTTCCAACTCAATGCCTAAAAATCCCAGGTGATGTTTTTACTTACTGCATCAGCTGTCTCCTACTCCAGCCCCATTCCATTTACAAGGATGATCAGGATCAGGAGAAGCCCATGTTGGATACAATCAAGGAAGGTTTCAAGGAAAAGGAGCCTGCACTTGATAAAATTGTGGTCTCTAAGAAAATGCCCAGGCAGGGCTTTTCAGACAGGTGACTGACCGCCAGTGTGCTGGTGCAGAGATGAGCCAGCCAAGGAGGAAAGCAGCAGGATGTGGGTAGAACAGTGTGTATCCTAATCTGATTGGAAAAGAACTAGAAGAATCGATTCTTTCATCTACAGTGGATTATCTTGAACAAGGACTTTTGTTCCTTTTTATTATTTTTTCTGTTTCACCAGCGTACCGAGATAAATAGAATGTCAGCCAAGAGCAGCATGCGCTCCTAGGACTTCCTAGTTGGCATCTTCTGCGTTTCCCTTTCTCCCTCCATCCTGAATGAGGTGGGGGTAGCAGGATATGAACGACGGAAGCGTGTACCATTTAGCAAACATTAAGGCCGAACCAACACTGGAACAAAGCACAAGCTGAAGGGGGTTTTAATATCCTGATCAAAACCAAATAAGTACTAAGATGAATTTGATTCATTTATTTGAGAGCTTATGCTATAGGGTACCTATGGATGCCTATAAAATTGAATTCCAAAGACCCCCCAAATAAAAATCCAAATAGCCTTTTATAAATGATACCCACAATTTTCTATAATTTTTTTGTTTTTAAAAAGCATACTAAATCTTTCCTTTTTAGAGGACCCATTTTTTTTCTGGAAGAAAATTATTTTTCCTATCATCGTCGGCTCATAGCAACCCTATAGACAAGGATGGAATCGCCCCTGTGGGTTTCCAAGACTGTAACTCTTTTCAGGAGTATGAAGCCTCGTCCTTCTCCCCGGGAGCTGCTGGTGGTTTTAAATTGCTAGCAGACCACCACAAAATCCATACACCCTATAGGGTGGCTAGTAGTCGGAATCAACTCGATGGCAGTGAGTTTGAGAGTTTTTTTATAGTTTGACCATTGCTGGGGACTTTTCTGAAGATATAAAGACTCTAACAATGACTCCTGCCAAAAAGAATTTTTAAAACACCATTTATTAAATAAGAAAAAAAATGAGCTTAGTTTAAGACTGTAACAAATGTTCTCTTTCATAAAAAGTGAGATTAGATATCTACAATTTGTGGCTGCCAGCCACCAAACAAGAAAAAAAAATTAAAACTTAGTCCTAATGAAAATGCTTTGTTTATTCAGATTAAATGATAAGACTTCTCTGGGCAGCAATAGTTGTCAATCAATGATATATCAAAAGATAACCCTCACTTACATAAAAAGACAAGAACGGGCAAATGTACAAGACCAAAACTTATTAGTAGCTACCAGGGGTAGAAGGGAGAAGGGACGTTGGCGTGGGGAGGAGGCATTGCTTCTGTCGAAATCATATTGAGTAGGATTATGCATATTAGTGGTATAATAGCTGTCAGTAAGTTATAAACCTATAAAATGTTGAGTTGTCAAAAGGTGTGTGCTATTTTTTTTACAAGAAGAAAAAGAGCTGCTACTGAATCTGCTTATGTGCAATCAAGCATCTCGTGGAATTTGACTTCTTAATTTGGAAGTTCATTTTCAGGGTTTCACAGGCATCTCAGTTAACTAGCTTTATAACATTTTTAGTGATTTTGCTCTATCTCCTACTTCATTGTATATACTTGAGGTCTTTAAAAAGCTTGCCAAGTAGCCTTCCAGGGCATTACAATTGGTTTCCATTCTCCAGGAGTGAGGGAGGAAGAAGAAAAGTCAGGAATAGGAGGATATGGAATGTGTGGCTAATTGTCTTCATGAGAAACTGTCTCCTTTACCATGAGACCAGAACTGGTTGGTGCTCGGCTACCATTACTGAATATTTTTATCGAAGACTCTATGCAAGATTCCTAATCAAAAGGGGGGAAATGTAAAACAGAATTTCAAATACTGTCAGAACCTATGCTTTCTGGAACGATGGAGCCTAAATGAACCCCTGAAACCACTGTCCTGAGAAAATCCTTACATCTTAAACCAAAAATATCTCCTGGTTTCTTCTTAAAACTAAACAATAGTTTATCTTAACTAGTAAAAATGACCTATACTGAGTACTCTGCTCTTTCCATAAGTATCTAGGATCCATTTGACAACAACAGGCTGAAGGATGTGACAGGAAGCCTAGGAGGCAGGGAGCTTACTTTCAGGGGGAACCGAAAGAAAAGGAAGGTGAGCATGGCTGTGTAGCTCAAAGGACACCCTCAATGTCTATGAATTGGACTTGTAGACGTTCTTGAATTGGTGTGTGTTTTACTAGTATATTCTCAACAGCAACGAAAAACATTTTAACTACTAACAGATGAACCAATAGAAGAGAAAACATCTTAGCCTCAACACGGGTAATCCAGAAAGCTGACATATTTTGAAAAACACACACACCAAAGTTCATTCTTACCATAACAAATTTTTTGTTAGATATAGGCTACCATTTTAAAAATAAATTTCTTAACCTGTAAGCCCTTTAAACAAGGGGAGAAAATATTTTCTTATACATTTAGTTTGTTATACTGTTTTTCTTAAATAAAAGCACTTACCATAAATGGAAATTATAGACCGTAAAAAGCCCCAGCACTTAAAAAAAAAACGTTCACAGTGAAAGTTCACATCAAAATCCTAAGCTTCTTATGATAAACACCAATCTAAGGAACACCAAAAAAAATTGCTTATCATTTTACACAGTAAAAGATGTAGGTCACATAGCTGAGGCTATTATTTGCCCCAGGTAGAGCTTAGCGCCTTTGGCAAGTAGACACTACAGCCCAATCAGAAAGAACACTTAAGGAATAATAGTCAAGTATAACTCCCTAAACGTTTTAAAGAATCCCCAGGTTTGCTGTTCCTTTTGCCTAATACAGCTGTGCCCGTGACAAGGTCAGAGAAATGTGAAGGAAAATATCAAAAACTGTTACCAATAATCATGGCTAGAAAATAAACCATTAAAATGTAACGAAAAAAATATCAACTCTGGTCCCTAATTTGAGTTTCCACCCTGTAACTCTAACCGAAAAGAGGAAATAATGTAGAACATTTTTAAATGAAGACAAAGACGAGTTGGTGGAAATTTAAGAGACTTGTCATGATGTCAGCTAAGTGCTAAAAATAAATCACGAACAAACGGGAACCAAGTTGTTGCTTTAGTATTACAGCACCACCCGTTGGCTAGAGGTCCTCATAGCAAATTTGAGGCCTGGCCATTAAAATAAGATAAATCACTGGAACTGGAAGGATAAAAAAGGACGGATTACTCTGCGTCATTATAACATCAGGAACTGCTAGCAAAACAGAACCACCCGTTTTACTTTATTTCTGTAAGGAGAAAGAATAATGGTAGATATGCTTAATAGGGTGAGTTTTAATAATTTTAAAATGCAAATCTACAATCTCGATATGCTATAGGATTGAAATCTTATAATCAAGGAGATTAACGTATGTAGGCAATGCTATCTCAGCACTATAAGTGAATATACATAAAGGGATTTTCTCTAAGAAAAACATTAATCCTTACATTTCATTCCGTAGGAAAAATTATAATATTAATATATTTAAATGTTAATGAAACCCACAACGGTATCTGCTCCACCTCCACCTTTATCAGAGAAGTAACAAAATATAGAGAACAAATGACATGCCCCCCCAAAAAAACTGGACTGACAAATATGTCCTAAGAAAAGCCACTTCTTAAAAATAAATGTTTTAAGGTATCCCAGCACCTTTGCAATCTAAAATATATTTATTTACTACAATCCCTTTTCATCCTAATGAACGTATTTAGATGTTGTGTTTTCTAAATGATTCTTGCTTCTTTCCTTAAATGCTAAGATTCTTAAAACTCTCAGCAAAGAAAATAATTCCGTGTAATTCCTCCCCAAGCACAGCCTTCCCTGTAAGGCCCAGAATTACAGAGAAAGGCCTGGCATCAGGTGATAACCCACAGGAGCCTGATGAATGCTGATCTCGAAAGACCAGAGCAGGGTTCTTCCCTAAACAAGACCCTCCTCTTCCAAGTAAGAATTCAATGCCAGGCTTGCGGCGGTCAGTGCAAGCTTCACGTTTCTTTAGCTTGATGATAATTATCACCTGGTCCACCAAAGTCAAGTTCTTGGCCTTTTCATAGTTGGTTGATTGCAGATAAGAGTATGATGAGAAAAGTCACATTCCCACAGATATAAATTGCTAGCACCACCTTTTTAAACGCATGACCCTGGAAGAAAAATTGAGAAATGAAGAAAAGACACTACCACCATGAGGTTTAGGTCAATAAATAATAAAAGAGAAACTTACTTCGGCTTCAGCTGCAGTAAAGGACTGAAGGATCTGAATTCTAGTATCATCCAAGATTTCAACTGTCAAGAGCAACAGAGATTCATCAAGGCCGGTATGAAGAACTCTTTTCCCTCTCCTCAAGTTGGGGGAGGGGGGGCACACAGCCTGATTAGTAGCATTTGCCAATTTCCACGATAGGCAACTTGCAAGCTCCCAAATATTACAAGCTTCCCAAGTATTCGTGGCTCTTACAAATCAGGACAAACTAGCTTAGCATATACTGGCCAAGGAAAATATCCTCTTTTCTGGTAAATAAATACCACATCAAGGTCCTAGCAATCCAAATTTTAAGTACATACATATCTTCACAACAGCAACCCATTACTCATTCATCATCAAAAGCCCTAGGCAAGTGGCCCTATCAAAAACCCAAAATGACAGGACAAATATTTCCTACCCAGCCAACCAGGCTCCTGCGTTCACTAGACCATAAAGAGTCTCTGGTTTTAGAAGAACCCTTCATCTACTATTTTAGGGACTAAAACCAAACAGGACCCAAAGGACACTTAGCCTAAAAACAAGCTCGTTCAGAAAGGTTACCCATGCTCTACTAATTTCCCCACTCCTTATGGAATTATAGGTATCTTGACTCTGCCTGGTATTAAGCCAAAAAAACTAGGTCCTTCTCCTCTAGCTAAGTAGCTGGCTACCTATGCATCTATATATAGAGCCACCTAAGTGACAGCTCACAGTAAGTTTGCCAAACAGGTAAAATATGCCCCCAGCTCTTTGGGTATCTATTTGGCACCTCCTTCATCACCCCCATCTCAGTGCTCCCTCAACACCAAGCATCCGTGGTTCTCGTGTGTCTTCCCTCCTCCCACTCAGAGCAGCATGCAAACTAAGAGAAGGGTCCTTTCAAAGAAGCCTTCTCTCCTTATGTCCAGACTAAAGGCAAGAAACATGCCACCATTTCTACTGCAATTGAATCATCATAGCAGAAATTTTCAGTGAGCCATCATGTCGTATTCAACTAGCTGTATCAGGAAACTATTTAGTTCCATTCCCACATTTATACAAAAGTTATTTATTCTATATAACATGGCTTTTCACATAGGTTACCTTTCCGAGTGAGCAGGTAAGCATGTATCTCCAGAACAATCTCAGTTCCGACATGCCAGGCTACAAATCCAATCAGTGCATAGGTTTTTGGTGTCTCAGCAAGATTCAGTCCTGGCAAATCCATTCCAAGGAACATTGCTGCCACTAAATTGTAAAAGTACATTGTTCATGGGTGTGCATTTCCATATACCACATTCACTGTTACTGAGCCAATTCTAACTCATAGCAACCCTACACGGGGCTTCTGAGATCATAGGTCTTTCTGGGAGCAGACGACCTCATCTTTCTCCCCCAGAGTGGTGGCTGGGCTCAAACAGCCGACCTAACATCTAACCAGCAACACCACTGGGGCTTCCATGGTAGTCCTACCAACAGACAAGTCTGTGTCAAGAAAACACTTACTGGATTGAGAGAATTCATATTTAAGAACCATATTAGGCAGGGGTCTCAAATAGTTCATTCCGCTTCTTTTTTTTTTTAATTTTAAGTTGGGAAATTATGACCAAGTAATTATTTCAAAAAGAGATATCCAGCATTCTCAAAAAGTTGTATTAAGTGTGCAGTGGCGAAAGGGAGAAAAGTAGAGGTATAGGAACTGCTGCTGCTCATCCTATCCCATCCAGACAAAGGCCACAGACCACATACAGAAATGTTATGGTGAGAGCTGGCAGCTTAGGTATTTGTTACATAAGGCTCCAAAATGTATTGGACAATCATGCTCGTCTTCTGAAAGTCACCCACCCCTGGAAGGCACAGCCTCATGGAAAGGCTGGAGAGCTTGAACCTAGCAACCCCCTCAGCCCAAAGCACAACCAACCACAATCTGGGCTACTCAGAGATCCTGCCATCAGCATCGTTTATTCTTCTGGCAAAGAGAAATGCTAAAACGTCTTAAGAGGAAAGATTTAAAATCATGTTTAAAACCTAAAACTGAAATAATGACTTAAATAGTTACCTCCAGAAATTGCTTTCTAAATTCCAGTGTTTAAGGCTGCTTTCTCCTCAACAGCCAATTACACCAATTACTAATGCATCTAAAAATCATTTCAGCCAAATTACATCATGTAATGTAAACATCCAGCAATTATGTATGAATAAATGGCATCGCAATTGCTTACCTGCTACTATTCTCGCAGCTGTTCCCATACTCCAGTGAGTCCAGTTAAACATTTGCCTTCTACCAAAATAAAGAACCAGTCAGTGCCCTTCCAAGTGACCGAGTTACAGTCCCCATGAGCATAAACCCATTGTTCCCCTCGCTGCCTATGAAGGACATATTTGAAATGAATTTAAAGTATTTCTAAGAAGATAAAATCAATCACAGGTTTTTATCAATTAAACAGGTGTTTGCCAACTAAAATTCACAATAAGAACATTTATAAATAAAAGCTGTACACACCTTGGATCGTGTATTTGTGGCCTGAACGCTGCTAGAAGAGGCTGCAGAACCGCTAAGGTCATCACTATGCAACCAAGGTATGGATGATAACCTGCATGCTAAACAAAATAACAGCATCTTATGGTTCTGATCATGCGCATGCACTCAAATCCTTCATTTAAAATAATACACCCCCACAACGCTGAAGGGCCTTAATGGCTTTAAATATTTAATAATACTATGCACCAATCACTGAGAGTCTATTTTGTACCAGATACCACTTCTGGCATATGTTTTCACTAATTCTCACTATAAGGCTTGATGGCTGGTTATCAGTATCCTGATTTTACAAATGGGAAAGGTGAAGTTCAGAGAGATCAAAGCATGTGTCCAAGGCCGCATAGTATGTAAATGGTGTGGTAGAAATCCACGTACAGGCAGCTGCCTCTCCCCAAATAGGCTACTAGATGACCCCCAACACCAGGATGGTCATTTGCAACTTAACAAAGACTATTTGGTATTCACATATTGAGCAAAATCATTCCAACATGTTCAGATGGAGTCTAACTGTAATCATTTGGGTAGATTTTTGTGCTTCTCTGAGCTGCAGGTTCTCTGTAATCCCTTGTAACCCCGGTGCTTAACAGAGTCTTAGTTCCCTCAAGAAAGAGTTGCTGATTAAGTGAGTAACCTCTTGGCACTTATTAAATTCTTACCTCCCCTGCTCAGAATGAAGGTCTAACCCACGAAAAAATATCAACATGGCATTTCAGCACTTTCTCCTGTACTTTTCCTCATAATTAGTTTGCATGCCTATTCAAAACAGTGAATTGTTTGATTAGAACACTGTGTACCAGATTTGGTTTCAGAGCTTGTGGAAAGGACGTAAGAAGATACTCTCCGGGCATTTGTAGAAGTGGAGGAAAATTGTACCACACTCGGTGTCACAGACTCCAGGTGAAGGCTCAAGGACAGGAACATAGGGATTTCTAAGTTGGAAAATATGGTATACGGTTTGATTTCTGTGTGTTCCACCTGAAGAAGTCCATGTATCTGTGTCTATGAAGAAATGGTATTTGCAATGACTGAGATGTTGGTCTTGCAAACTTCTGTCATGTGATCTCCAGCTTTGTTTCTGTCACCAGGACTGTATTTTCCAACTATTGCTCCTTCCTCTTAGTGTCCAACTTCGGCATTCCAATTGGCAGTCATAATCAATGCATCTCGAATACATGTTTGACCAATTGCAGACTGAAGATGATGGCACAATTCTTCAGTTTCTGTATAATTAGCTTTAGTGGTTGGTACATAAATTCGAATAATAGTTGCATTGACTGGATTTCCTTTCATGCAAATAGATATTATCTTATCACAGACAACACTGTACTTTAAGATAGGTCTCAAAATGTCCTTTTTAAACAATGAATGCAATGCAGAATGAAATCTGTCATTCCCATCATAGTAAACCATGACTGCCTAATTCAAAATGACCAATGCCAGTCCATTCCAACTCCCTAATGCATGGTATATGCATCTTTATGTGTTATGTTTCATTTTGAGGGACTTCTAATATTCCCAGATTCAAACTTCATACATACCAAATTCTACGTATTAATAGATTGATAATATCTAATGATTATTATTAGATATTAATAGATTTCTAATAATTAAATAAGGTATTGATTCTCATTTCGAGTATGCTCCAGCAGCAAATGGTGGTCCCAAAGGCTTTGTTCCATCTACATCATTATTGCCAACAGTACTTGGAGAAGGCAGCTCTTCCGAAGTCCCACATTGAGTGCTGTCCGCCTCAGGTGCTCGTTTCTGTCAGTAGCTCTGACGGTGTCCTGTTGCCATGCATTAGGTCTGCATGGCTAATTCTTCTGGAGAAGAAGACAGTCTAGTCCTTCTTTGTAGTCTGTTCTGTCTGGAAGCTATGCTGAAACCCATGCACCTTGGGTGACCCTGCTAGTATTTGAAATATCAGTGACATAGCCTCCAGGATCATAGCACCATGCGAGCCACCACCGTGTGACAAACTGCAAATTACTAAAGAAGCAGGAGGCGGATTTCCTAGTAGTGTCTGCAGCTTAAGATCCCTCCATCGTCACCATTATAGCACCAGTCCAACCTCTGACCTATTAAGCTCTGACATACAATCTGACTAGTTATGATACTGGAAGACTGTCATGGAAGCAAGGTCTTGATCTTAAGTGGGTCACTTATGCTTGAGAGCCTTACTAGTTCACTCAATAAGTATTGCGTGTGTGTCAGAGGACACACTGTATCAGAGTCTGTTCTGGGTGATTGGGATACAACAGGTAAGATATGAGTACATATTTCAGCTCTTAGGGAAATTGCATACTCATCTAGAAAACCAGACAAAAAAAATATGTCAATTATAATATTTGATATGATAGAAAGGTAAAGAGTTTTATGAGGAAAAGAATAAGGCAGGACTCACTGAGAAGATATTATGTGAGTACAGATTTAACAATGAGATTGTAGATCTTTCTCCCTGGAGGCACTGGAAAGGTCAATTGGGGCTGCAAAAGCAGATACCTACACTTTATCCTGGATTGTGGGCTATGGTACAATTGTTTTTAATTGCTTGGAGGCACTGGGTAATTTCTTTTTAATGGGGCAGTCAGACAAGTAAATTTAGGGATCTAGGAAGTAGAGAAAGCATGTGCAGGAGAAGAAAGAATCCATACAAAGACTACAAAGAAGGCGCTTAGCAGGTTTGCAGACCAGTGAGGTGCCTGGTGTGGGATGAGATAAACTAGAAGGAAAGGAGGCAGAGATGAGTATAGACACATAACCAGGAGCCAAATCATTGCATCAGTGTAAGAACTGTGGCCTTCACTTTGAGTGAAATTAGGAGACATTTGAGAAACCAGTTTGGGCCACAAGAATGGCAGAGCTTGCTCTGCATCAAAAAAATTTATTATGCCCTTTTTTTTTTTAAGAAAACAGATCTAGATGGAGAAGGACTTTTAAGGGAGGCCACTGGGAAAATGCCTACTGCAATAGCCCTAGTGAAATAATGGCGGCACAAATCCCTGCACAGTTGCATGGGGAGGCTGAGAAGTGCAGTGCCTAGAGACTTTGCTGGTGGATTGGCCAGGAGGTATGAAAGAGAGGAAGTAAGGATCATCCCCAAATTGGCCTAAAAATGGAGCTGCCAGCAGCGAAAACGGAGATGGCAACAGATGGAGCGGGACTGAAACTACCGGGAGTTCCCCTGAGGACATGTTAAGTTTGAGGCCTCTGAACAACATCCCAGTAGAGATCTTGTGAGAAGAGCTGGGTGTGTGAATCTGAAGGCAGAGAGAGAAGTGAAGCCGAGGCAAACATTTGGGAGTAAGTCTCCAGTGTCTTCACTGGTGCACTGGGACTTTTACTTGGACCTCCTGCGTGTGAGGCTTCCGTTTGACAACAGGTCTGAAGCAATTAGCACAGGCAGTCAGACAGTAGGACTGCAACTCCCATGTGATAATCTACTAGGTGGGGAACCTATCTGCATGGTTCATGGACATGACTGTTAGCATTTTCACCACCCTATGGGAGAAAAAAAGAGGCCCAGGCAATGGCAAACAGACAAGCACATGACTACTAGTCCAAAGGTTGGAGGTTCGACTCTACTCAGAGAGACCTCAGAAGATAAAGTGCCCTGATAAAAAATAGTCTTGTCCTTGAAAATCCTATGGTGCAGTTCCAGTCTGCACACGTGGGGTCATCATGAGTGCGAATCGACAATGGACAACGTCGGAGAAAAACTAACTGAAGTTCTATTTGCGGGGAATAACATTTTAATGCAGCCTAAAAACCTACTTCATTACAAGTAATGTCTGGATGAACATTTTCACCCCTACCCGGGACCCTGCCCATTCCTGAGCCCCAATCATGTGAATCAATGATGAGACGATTCAAAACCAAAAGAAGAATAAAGCAGCCATCTGCTTTCACATATAATGGATTTATATAAAGACATCCTACTTAGGATATACTTACCCAACTCCAGCCCCCTCTGTATGCGAAAGGTAAAACAAAAGCAACACAGGTGAGGGCAGATGTGGTGATCATGAGCATCCGATGCACCTGGAAGGGTGAGGCGGCAGAGAGAATTGTTAACTCCGGGAGAGAAGAGAGGAGTTATTGCTTTGGGGACAAGGTCTTGGAGTAAGATCAGCTAAGGTAAAATAAACACAGTTTGGGTCCATTTGAGAAAACATCTAAGTATACCACAAAATGTTAGAGAAAGCCCTATGTTACCATTCTCATCCTTCAGAAGCATTTGTCAAAACTTCACCTGCACAGAGCAAGAGGACTGAGGCGTTCACACACTGGGCGTGCTGACTTGCCAAGCCCTTCATTGCCTTCCAAAAGCACTTACTCAGCTCCACCAGCCGCACAGTGCTTTACAAGGGACCATGAAAGACAGAGCAAACGGGGAAAACCAAAACTGCCTCCTGGGGAATTAGGGATAGAATTGAGTAGACAAGAAACCTGTATATAAAATGACTAAAAACAGTCATTAGCAGTGGTTCTCAATCTTCCTAATGCCATGACCCTTCAATACAGTTCCTCATGTTGTGGTGACCCCTCCCCCCAACCATGCAGTTATTTTCGTTGCTAATTCATAACTGTAATTTTGCTACTGTTATGAACTGGGCAACGGCTGTGAACGGGTCATTTGACCCCCAAAGAGGTTGCAATCCACAGGTTGAGAACCGCTGGCTTCAAAGAATCATTAAAGAAGAGAGTAGCATGGAGGCGCAGGTTGAAACTCCTCAAAAATTTTACATGCAAAGATTAAGTTTTCCTCATGAATGGTGCATCTCATTGCCCAATTAGAGCAATGTTAAGAAAAGGGACATCATTGATCATGCCACTAAAATGCAAGTGCCAGGATTATTGTGGGAAAAAATTAGGATACTTAGTTACAGTTTTAAAGAGAGGAAGGAGAGGATATGAAATGACAAAGAGGAGAGATTGATGGATGAAGAAGAGAGTATGCAGAAGCAGAGAGGTGACAACAAAAAAATCAATCAATCAAGTCAAATTGGCCCCAATTGGCTCCACCAGCCCAGAGTAAGCTAGGAGATTAGATACAATAACCTTTGAGAGCTACAACTATGAAATGCCAAAGATACCCTCTTTTAAAGTCAATACTATCCCAATATTTGTCTATAAACTATGTATGTATATTCTACATGTAGAATGCATATACATTCTAGTTCAACACATATTATTGATCTTCTACCATATGAGCAAGCATCTGTACCCCACGATGCATGGAAGGTGAGGGGGGGTTGCTTTGTGTTGAAGGGCAGTGAGTCACTCATGCTCACGTTTCTATGAGGACACTGCCTCCCTCACTCATGGGAAGGAGTAGCCTAAAAAGGAACACTTCTGGTTTCTCTTTCCACACACGAAGGAGATGGCTGATGTTCACTGGGAGCGAGGGAAAGATCAGACATTGACCGTCCACCAGAGCCCAGGACTCGCCCCTGTGTCTTCATGCTGCTCTCCTGCCTTGCTGCGCTCAGTGCCGTGAGTGGCTTATCCTTTAACCCAGTGTGACCCTTCATAAAGTGTTAGCTATTTTGAGCTCTTCTCTTCTCAGTTGGTTGAGCAACCAGAGAGGAAAGATGAACCAATAAAGATCCAAACCCACAGAGGCACACTTCACATAGGTTCATGCTTCCACATTTCACATAGTAGGGAAACTGCATTCAACTTTGTCTCAAATACCTACCTGAAACCAAGCTGCTTCACCAAAGAAGAAAGCTTTAGACCAAACAGGTTTGAAGAACCGGGCAATGAGTACACCTATGCTCACGGTAGTCACCCATGCTACAAACATTAAGGCACCTACAGGTGAGAATACACACTGATTGTTATCACAAACCATTGCAGCTGTTTCATCGCTGACTAAAGCCAAATGACCAGAAAGATAAAGTCAGGAAACTACCATCATCGACATAACTGTGGTCTAAAAACAGTCTTTACGCCGCAGTTTGTGCCACCACTACTCTTACTTCTGTTAAACACCTCCATAGCTCTGCTACCTGCCAAGCACGGTCTTTAATTATTTTATGTATATTAATTCCTAGAAGTAGTTATAATTAATTCCTCCAGTTTTACTGGATGGGGAAAAGAAGACATAGAAACATTAAGTATCATTCCCAAAGTTACAAAGTCAGGATTTGAACCCAGTCTAGGTTTAACAATCATTTCGCCAATACAATCTGTTTGATGTTATTTCAGAATTTTCTCATATCATATCCCAAAATCAATGGGGAAAAAATAAGCTTATATTTCTGGATGCAATTGCTCTCAAACTAGAATTACAAAAAAAGAATTGTTGTTAGTTGCTGTTCAAGGCAATCCTATGCACAAAGGGGTCAAACCATTGTAAGTAGGATTTTCATTGGCTGACTTTTGGAAGTGGATCGCCAGGCCTTTATTCCTAGCCTGTCTCCGCCTGGAAGCTCTGCTGAAATCTGTTCAGTATCAGAGTAACACAAAGCCCCCATTGACAGACAAGTGGTGGTTGTACTTAAGGAGCCTTGGTCAGGAATTGAACCCAAATCTCCTGCATGGAAGATATAAATTCTACCACTAAACTGAACAAAGAAAAAATTTAAATGATGTTATTTCAAGATTAACTTTGAGAGCATTTTACTGAAGGCTTACTAAGAATTGATAGTAGTGGAGATAATAGTGTACACACATGCACACGTATGTGTCTATATATAGTGTGTATACATATACATGTGTGTGCATATATATATATGTAATATACACAAAATAACTGTTCTCACAAATCCAAATAATATACAATAGTAGAGCATATGCCACATTATTCTATTACTTTTAAATCTAATACTTTTAACAATAAGCTGAGATCATTTTCAAATGATATCAACTGTCATCTGTAAAACCAGGTCAGAGAAAATCAGAGCCGTGTTTTTAGGCGACTGCTTTTGCAACTGAGTTCTAGTCATCGTTTAGTGTGTAACACCAAAGTATGGAATGGCGTACCTTGTCTACCCTCAAATACTGTTCTATTGATCAGTCTTAACAATGAAACTATATCCTTGAAACCAAACTTTTACATTTACGATTAGGCAATCAAAATCACAGACCATTACTTTCATTAACATTGCATAATTAAGACTTCTTAAAAAGTTAAATTAACTAACCCAGTTATATTCAACCCTGATGCATGCTAAAATCACGTAGGGCACTTTTTTTCATGCCTAAATGTATGAGATTCATGAACATCTTTTAAGTTATGTCCACCACCATTCTAACCCCGCCATCACTGAGTCACCAGGTAAACTTATTCCAATAGCGGTCCCTCTACTCCATTAACTTGCCGTGAGCCTTCAGAAGGAGCAGAGAACGGGATCCTCCAATGTTCTTTGGATGGTCTGTCACATTGTGTTTTTCAGATGTAATCAATGGTTGCTGGGCATGTTTATAAATTTGACCTGAAAAGTAAAAGAAGGAGAATTTCCTCAGGAGCAAAAGAATTGAGAGAGGCAAGGCAAGGACACAACCATTTTTCAAATTGTGAATTAGGTGACGGTTAAGTGCTGTCTTTGACCTAAAATGGTTGAGAAGTCTAACAAAGGAGTAAGGTCAGTTCCAGAGCTGAAAGGTGACTAAGGGACAACGTCATGAGGGTCCCACCAGTGTCTATTCCCCCCCCCCCCAGTAAGCCTGGTATCTTTTATGATTTTGAGTTTTGGTCAACATTTTCCTCCTGTTCTACCTAGGACCTTCTAGTGTGATCCTTTTCAGAACGGATGCTTGTGGTTGCCAGTCACCGTCTAGTTCTTCTGGTCTCAGGATTGTATAGCATGGTGTTTAAACAGTGAAACTGTCAAATATAATTCTTAAAAAAGAATAACATAAAAGAGTTTTAAAGGTAATAACTACTACCTACCTGTATCTAGAATCCTAGATTATACCAACAGAAATTTGGTTTGAGGATGTCTGAAGATAAGGCAAAGAAAAAGCCTTTTGAACTACATTATTTGGTATATGGTCCATTCAATTTGAGTTTGACTAACCAAAGTCACAAATAACAAAGACATTTAAAAATTGGTAATTTAATACTCTTGCATTGTCATGTATATATCTACTCCTGTAAAGATATAAAGTCTCAGAAACTCAAAGGGATGATTCTACTCTGTCCAATAGGGTCACCATGAATCAGAATTGATTTGATGGCAGTGATTTTAGTTTTGGTATATATCTTACTTTTTAAAAAATAATGCATACCTTCTACATTTTTTTGCCAACCATTCACTTCCCCTTCCCTTCCTTCTGGGAGGTATATTTTTAATTCACTAAGATAATTTTTGACAAAAATGTAAAAAAAAACAACTGGTACAGTGGCATTTTTATAAAACTATGTATGGGGGTACTGGTTAGAAAATAAATGTAGCTGGTGCATATTATTTGTATAAAAATACAGTACTTAAATTAGAATATATAGAATTCCTCCAACTGTGTATATATTTATATGTTGTCCAGAAATCTGCTTTCTATAACTATGCTTTTTAACCAAACATGTACAAGAATGTCCACAATACATTTTTTAACATGGGGGGAAAAATTTTTAAATATGATAAATGTTTATCATGAGTAAATAAATTATGAATGAGCAATTATATTATGAAACATATATCATCAAATATGATTCAAGGGTGAAAAAAATGAAATTTGATATGGCTATATAAGGGATTCTTAATAAAGAGACATTAATAAGTATTAGTCAAAACAAATGATAAATACTAGGCCACAGAGAATATCTCGTTTCCTAAGACAAATAATTATGAAGATTATATTATTTGTCAATATGCAACAAGGATTAAACAATAAATGGGGGGGGAGACATGATACCTGATGGAAGATCCACCTAGATACTTACAAAATTACTCTTCTAAACACTCTCAGACTATTTAGGCAATCAGAACTAAAATTGCAAGTCTCCTTAGAAATGAACACCAATTAAGACACTTCACATCAAAACACATGGGATGCAATCAAGGTATTATTCAGAAGACATTTTTAACATCTTAAAAGCACATTTTAAAGGGTAAAAAAGACTCTAAGTATTGAAGTAATCATTTAATTCAACATGCCTTTAAAACAATTAAATACAACCTGAAAAAGGAGAAAGGAAGAATTCTTTCAATAGAAGTAATAAAATCAACAAGCTACCAGCCTAAAAATCAGAAAAAGCAAGTCTGTTGAAATATCATAATATACACGAAATTTTTCACAAATCAAGCCACAAGAAAAAAAGAAATACCACAGGCAAGGTAAGGGGGGAAAAGTTTAGTATAACTCATAGTGTTTAATAAAATTCTATATATAACTTTTTAAGTCAGTCAAAAATTCAAAATCTAAAAATCACTGTACTTATGATTATAATTTTATTCATTGCAAAAACAAACAAATGAAGGACCCATTGGGCAAGGTCTAAAAG